TATATCCTAAGTAGCGCTTTCGAGACATAAAAAGCGCAATTTGAATTTCGTCAATCGGCCCAGTAGAACGGAAGATATAGAACTGTCGCCCCCCCCATTTTTTTTTCGCAGTGTACACGAATTTTACCATACGGCTAATTCATGTAATTCCTCAGGACAGTGTTTGTTTCATATTCCATCCGTACTTATTACACTTCAGAAGAAATACTTAATAACGTGTCATCTGACATACCTTCATGTTGTTTATTTTAATACAGCTTTAGTGCTATATGCAACTTTCGTTTATTTTTGTTTAAGAAAATCTTTCACTGCGGTATTTCTTACAAATTTAACTTAATTTCATTCATTTAATGACTTCCACCAATTTCATTACAGTGAAACGATTTGCACTATCGTGCTCCGCCTTTTTTTTTTTTTCCTCCTATAAAGCTTGTTTGAATGATAGCCAGTTTAATTCGAATGATTGATATCATGCGATAAAGCATGACCTTCAAATCCTCAGAAAATTAAAAAATAATTCAAAGGGAAATCATAGAAAAAAAAATTATCTTATATGTCGTAAGCATCAATACGGGAGGCAAGATGGCAAGGAATAGGGTGGATTGAAAGGCAAAATATTATCCTGGATGATGTACAGCTGCGCATTTATTTTTGTTATTAGTTCACTGATTGCTATATGTAGGTTATAAAAAGATTTAAGACCATCTTACGATTATCCATAAATGTTAAATAGGTGAAGAATTTCAACATGTTAGATAGGGGAAACACTAAGAAATTTGGCGAATGGGACAATAAGGAAAAGAAACTGGATCAATTGGAACATTGCTTCGATTCAATGGCCCTTTAGACGGTGATCTTGTCTTTAGCAGTTTATTTTGAAGAGTCGTCATATGAAGTGGCTATATGTTTTGTTTACTACGACATGCTCATATACGCGCATGGTAATCTAAAGTGCATGCTGGTTTAATGCTGCCAATGGCCTGACTCCAAACGCAATTCATTACGAAAGACGAATAGGTCTTATTAGGCTTTGCACCACTGCAGACATTTTACATGATGCGACAGTATAACCAGCCAAGACGTAAGAATCTAGTTTCCTTAACTATCATAAAATGTGATTAGATCTACATCAGTGTATCCTTGCGAATTCTTGCACGGAATTGAAGATAAGCATTACCAGAGAAGGGTGCAAAAGACCTTTTTACTGAACACAAAATATTTCACAGATGACACGGACTTACGTGCTTACAAAACATTAACCACTTGCGGTGAGAACTTGAAAGATAATGTAACATTAAATTTAAAGGTAAAGAGTAGTGTGAGATTACATAATTCAATTTAAACTAACAGGTTGAGTTGGAAACCTACACCAACTGGATAACAACTTGGCGGCAAAAATTAGTAGCCAATATTAAGGTTAACAACTGTTAGGAAGTAACAGCGTCGACTCCCAGAAGTGAAATCATGCTGTGTCTAATCTTTTCGCTTTAACAGTTTAAATGCTCTCAATTCGCCCTAACTCATTCACATTCTGGCAAGTAAACATGAAGGGAATAGGAGACTTCAGGAAAGACTCACAAAATAAAATAACTATTAGTAAAAATGAATAGAACCGTATAAGGAGATCATAGTAAAGCTGGAATCAGAGACATATTAGGACATGTTACCTCTCTTAAATCTGCCGGACTTTGGCAGGTTGTGATAAGGTCTCATAAAGAAAGAAGAAACTGAAGATTAATATGGACAACGATGTCTCGAGAGCACAAAATGAATATTACTATTATTTAACTTCCGTATACGTTTTCAATAGTTGTTAAGTTGAATTAATTTGTTTTAAAAATAATATTAATATGTTGGCATTGTTTCAAACGCAAGCTCGAGAGCCATGCATTGCTCTCGCACGTAAAATGTAGAGATATTTGAATTTGTTTAAAAAACAAAGGAATTTTATATATAGGTTTTTCTCTTGTGGATAGTATGTAGCCTTTTATTTTGGGCGTTCAATAAAATCTTCATGCGGTGTTCCATCATCAGAATTTTTATTGAAGTTCAACACCACACCGTTGAAGCCTTAACACCACATCACAGCAGTAAATACTAAAATTGGTGGCAGCATTTAGGGATTGTTCTTGAGAGTAAATTTATGAACAGACTTTTTCGCCTGTGAACTAGAGTTAACATCGTGCGTTGTTTTCTGTACATCTCGTCGTGTGAGTGTTCCGTATCGTAGAATGGAAGTTCCGGAAAAGGCAGTATTGTAAAGGATTTTATGTGAGCAGCCAAGACTTTCTTCTCTGCACAAAAACGATCTCATTTTGGGTGGAAGGACAGTTCGCGTGGTGAAGCCTTTTCAGAAAGTGACAGTGTGTCAGAAATGAACGCCGTAGGAAGCGTGATCTAGTGCCGCAAAATAGTGAAATTTTCCGGAAGAGCTGGAGTATCCAAGTTAGTGCTCAGAGAGTCATCGAAGGTGTCTTCAAATTGGTGAGTACCATTTCTGTGATTTTTGAGAAGTTATGCCCGTTATTCGAGACTAGGTTTATTTTGGATATAGCTCTGTTATTGGGGATGTGGAGAACTTTTTATTATTATTATTTGTCCGCTGCCCTGAGAGAGGGGCGCTACCAGCTTTCTCGCTCTTCCTCTCTGGAGGAAAATTCGAACTGGTTACTCGGTTCCTGGCTGCCGTCGGTGAAGCAAGCACTCACCTCTCTTTCCTCCGTGATGTTATCGTAGCTGTACTATGACTTTCTTGATTTTTACTCATGCGGATTTGCGAACTGAAAAATGCTCATCTTGTAACTACATGCAATTTGATTGTGTATAAGTGAATATATGTTAAAATATATATCATCCTAGAATTAAATATAAATGTTATGTAAAATCTTAGTATACGGTGCAGCCTTGGCGCGATTTTGAAAATTATCGCCAACACCAAAAATGATCCAAAGAACGTCTATATATATACTATACACTATATACTATGTGTGTATATAACATAGTATATACACTATATATACAGTATATACTATGTATAACCATATATATTCTTCGAATGACCTGTTTACTACTCATCGTATATGTTTTACTGCTCATCATAAAGTCGCCAAAAGTAGCCAAATCCCGTGTGCACCGGATACTAGGATTAAACCAAATGTTAATATTACCGAGTCAGATTTTGTAAACATTCAACGTGCAATCAAAAATGGCATCCATCAACAACAGCCATAAATGGTGACTCGTCAAGTTAGTGAATACGTGCCTCCTGTAACCTGCTTGCATCCTCAAGTTCTGTGATTATAATGTGCTATGAAGTGAAAATTATTTCTGTTCATGCAAAACACTAGCGTAATCCATCATTATTTTCGTGTCATCAGCAATATAGTGTGAAAAACGGTTGTGCCTGCTTAACAACGGGCTTGTGAATTATCATGTGTCTCATGCAAATCGTCAAAGTGCTTTGAAGTGATCTCCATATAAATCGTACAACGTGGTTACATATCATAAAATAAGTTTTTTCGGAATATTTTTTCTATAAGTGAATTGTGTTGTGCTGAATCTGCTGCTGACTGAGCAAATATTTCTCGTATAATTCGGTGGTAAGCCACGCAAATTCTTAGTATTACTTATGCTTATATTCGGATAGCTTACCTGCAAAATAGTTTCTCTCACGTTAATGTTTACATTAACTTTATTTATTTTGCACTAGTGTCGTATGTGAACTTATTAGTGACTGATTATTGTGTATTTATTTGTGTCATATTGGCAATATATATTTGTTTTTGTGAATCATGGCTCCACCACAACCCATCGCAGACGATCTTAATATTTCACGTGTTTCCGTCAACCTCCCCCATTTTGGAAGGTCAACCCTACTTTGTGGTTTGCACAACTAGAGGCCCAGTTTGATATCGCCGGAATCACTGTTGACTCCACGAAATTCAATCATGTGATATCTGCAATCGAATCTGATATTCTCAATAGTGTTTGTGATATCGTTTTACACCCTCCTGTGACTGGCAAATATGAGACACTAAAAACACGCTTAATTGAATTGCATTCTGAAAGTGAGGAGTCAAAGATACGTACACTTCTTCAAGGGCTAGAACTTGGCGATCAACGCCCATCACAATTACTTTGCCGTATGCGAAACCTCGCTGGAGAGACCGTTGGAGAACCTTTGTTGAAATCCCTATGGATATCTCGTCTCCCGCAAAATACACAAAGTATTCTTGCTGCCTTAAGGGGACTCATACACCTTAAATCTGTCATGATCTTCGAATATGTGACTGTTGCAAGAATTGGGATATTTTATTTATTTTAAAAGCAATTACTTCCAACTTTTTACAGCTGACTACATAATATAGCTGCTTTGGAAACTAGTAACCAGAAAGTTTGTGTTGCCACAAATATTTTTTGTAATTTAATTCTCTTTGTGACAAAATATTTCGCCATGTTTCCACCTTGCGCGCATGATATTTTAAAAATGGCTAATGGTACGTACTTGAGATTCGATGGAATTCTTTATATGGGCACTATTTTCTAACTGAACCAACAATCTGATGAATATTTTAATATTGAAAAATTTTATGGATGAAAACATTACAAATTTTGTTAATAAAATATATTTTATAAACTCAACTCAAAATAAAATTAAAATTTAACATGGAATTTTTAGAATTTTAGGTTCACAGTAGTTTCCAAATGTTATAAAAGCTATATATTAAATATGGAATTAAATTATGTAACAGAATGTTTTAAACTGTGCGCGCAAGTTGGAAACATGACAAAAAATGTTGTCGCAAAGCGGATTAAATTATAAAAATATTTGTGGCAACACAAACATTCTGATTACTATTTCAGGAAGCAGCTATATTATGTAGTCAGCTGCAAAACGTTGGTAGTAATTGCTTTCAAATTAAATAAGTTATCCCAATTCTTGCAACAGTCGCCTATTCGAACATCGTATGGGTTTTAAGGTGTACCAGTCCCCTTAAGTGATGATCCCTCCAAAACTGGCAGTTGTAGCTGATAAAATTACAGATCTCACACCTCTCCCGCACACAAATAGTGCTGCTACGGCATCTACCTCTCCCATCGAACAGCAAGTTGCAGAGCTGACAAAGCAGGTAAATGAACTTTCGCTAGCCCTCAAAAAGAGCCGTGAGCGTTCCTGTGACCGAAGAGACTATTCCCAACGCAACAGTAGGCGTCATAGATCTAGTGGACGCTATCGACAGTATAAAGAACCGTGCAACAACATCTGTTTCTACCATACTAATTTTGGTTCCAAGGCACGAAAATGTGTTTCTCCGTGCAATTTCCGGCAGTCGGAAAACTAGATCGGCGATCGCTTGCCGGCCAACGTTGCGACGACGCCACATCAATCGAATTCTTTTGGCCGATTCATCCTCAAAGCTGACTTTTTTAATTGACACCGGAGCCGATTTATCTGTCATTCCCCAAGAGTTACAGTCAGCATGCCAAAATACCAGCTGCATTGGAACTCTTTGCCGCTAACGGCACTAAAATTGCAACGTATGGCACCAAACTTTTGACCATCAATTTAAACTTACGTCGCTCATTTACTTGGCCTTTTATCCTGGCAGACGTCAATCAACCCATCATAGGTGTTGACTTTCTCACAAAGTTCAACTTACTCATAGACGTTAAAAACAACCGTTTAATTGATGGACAAACAAAACTATATTCTTGCGGTAGACTTCCTAATGTGAACCCGCTCAGTACTAGCATTCATATTTTGATGGGTAACTCAAAATTTGACAAAATTCTTGCCGATTACCCTAGCTTGACGAATCCTTCGCAAACTTTTGAGAGGCCACCAATGTCAACGATTTTCCATCACATTGAAACTAAAGGACCTCCTATTTTCTCCAAACCTAGAAGATTATCTCCAGAATTACTTCAAGCTGCACGTCAAGAGTTTGATTTTCTCCTATCAAAAGGCATCATTCAGCCTTCAAAAAAGTCCTTGGGCAAGCCCCCTGCACATGGTTCGTAAGGCTAATGGCGACTGGCGACCGTGCGGGGATTATCGTCGCTTAAAATGCCGTTACAATTCCGGATCGCTATCCCGTACCCCATATTCAGGATTGCACTCAAATGTTTTCAGGAAAGAACATATTCTCAACACTTGATTTAGCACGTGCCTATCATCAAATTCCTGTTAACCCTGCAGACATTCCGAAAACTGCCGTCACAACACTTTTGGTCTTTTTGAATTTTTGGCTATGCCGTTTGGTTTACGAAATTCAGGCCAAACTTTCCAACGTTTTATACATGAAGTTTTATTTGGATTGGATTTTTGCATCCCTTATTTTGACGACATTCTTATTGCATCGACTAGCGAAGAAGAGCATATCCGTCATCTTCGTCAAGTGTTTGATCGTTTGAATAAACATGGTTTGCAATTAAACCCTAACAAATGTGTACTCGGAAATCCATCTGTTTCATTTTTAGGTTGCCTCATTACTGCCTCAGGTGTAAAACCCCTGCCTGAGAAAAAAAAAAAGCAATTGCCGACTTCCCAAAACCTACCACTATTGTCGAGCTCAGACGTTTTTTAGCCATGATAAACTTTTACCGCCGCTTCTTACCAAAGGCAGCCGAGACCCAAGCTTCACTGAATGAACTCTTAAAAGACTCACGTAAAAATGATAAACGCCCTGTTCCTTGGAACGACGAACTTAATCAGGCATTTGAAAAATGTAAACACGACCTTAGTAATGCTGCAACTCTCTCCTATCACTCTCCTAACCAAAAGCTGAGTGTTATGGTCGACGCTTCTGACATTTCCATCGGAGCTGTCTTAAACGTTCGACATTCTAATGACTACCAGCCGCTAGGATTTTTCTCACGTAAGCTGTCCCCTACAGAACAAAAATACAGCACGTATGACAGAGAATTATTAGCTATTTACGCAGCTATTAAGTATTTCAGGCATAATCTTGAAGGTCAACACTTCACTACATTTACTGATCACCGACCTCTAACTTATGCATTCACATCAAAATCAAATTCTGCTTCCCCGAGACAAATTCGGCATTTAAATTATATAGCTCAAGTCAGCACTGATATTCAGCATATATCAGGTTCCAGCAATGTCGTCGCGGATACTCTCTCACGTATTCACGGCATCGATGCTGTTGTAACTCTCATCATACAGCGAGGATAAGTCTGGCAACAGCTGCAGGGAAAAAAACTTCGCAGTGCTGGAATGGCAACAGCGGATGATATTCTATAGTTTTAATTTTGATTTTGAGTCGATGTTTTTTTGCGTCTTTGCGATACTATTGCGTCACCACATTTGAGTTTTGGGTGAATGAAATGAATCCGCTGTCCCGCTGCAGATATTAGTAAAATATATTTAGAAAATTAGCTGCGTTGGAAGGGATGAAACCTTGTGTTTGAATTTGCGGTATTTTTCCTCCTAAAGTTGCGTCGATTTCAGAATATTATGCCAGGCTTATTCACGCTGGCGCAGATAAGTTCAAATTTTGTTTATTGTATTTATAGTGTATAACTTGCAAATATATGAATAGAATTCTATTAAATAAACTTTTAAATTCTGGAATGGTGTTTTAAAATTTTAGATGTAGAGTATTCACATTGCTATGTCGGAGCCAGTGGCAGTCAGGTGTAAAAGTAAAATTGTTTTTGCTCCACGACATAACAAAATGGCGAGCCAGCCAGGATTGCGATCCTGATTCGAATGTGTTGGGATTATTATATTAATATAGTTGAGAAAGTATTGTGTTTGCTATATTATATTATTGTAGAAGTAAATATTAATTTAAGTGTTATTTGGAAACGTAATGCGTTTTATCGTCTGCAATGTTGAATTTCGTATTTGTATTCGAATTAGTTTCAATTTTCAATCGAAATGCTATGCGCTTAAATCGTCTGCAGAGTAAACGTAGAAAAGGTTATGCGTTAAATCTTCTGCTGTGATATTCAAAATAATTTTGTTTTGCTGTATATTATGAATGTTATGACATATTGTTATTCATTTTTATTATATTGAGTTATATTTTTGGAATTGCTGAGTAAAGACGTTTTTTGAGGATTTGTCGGATTGATGATAACATTACAGATTTTGAGTTTTAAGTGGGTCTGCATTTAAAGATAAAATGGATGTTGATATGTTGAAGAAAAAGAAAAAGCGTGCAACGGCACGCAGTGCCTTTACTAGGACGGCTAAGATTCTAAAAACCGAACTTTGTAAAGATGTTCAAGCGGATAGAGATGTATTGAAAGACAAAATTTTGAAGTTGCAGATGATAATTGCTGAGTTGAGATCTTGCGATTCAGAAATACTAGATTCAATGATTAAGGGAAAAGCCGCTGAAGATGATCTGGAAACAGAGGTCATAGGCTGCGAAGAATATTCAGATGAGTTTATCACACTTAATCGTCGGGTGAAAGAGAATATAGATAATGCGGTTGACCGTAGTGTCAATACGAGTTCTAACACGGATAGTAGCATAAGTGCTTCTAATGGAAAAAACGGTACAAGTTGCCGAAAATTCAAATTAAAAAATTCGATGGACAATTATTAAGTTACCTTACATTTTGGGGTCAATTTAAAAAGATCCATGAGGATAAGGAGCTTAATGACGTTGACAAATTCCATTATTTAGCTCAATCAATGTTACCCGGAACTCGGGCTAGTGAGTTGATAGATAGTTATCCTTTAACGGCTGAAAATTACCCGAAAGCCATTTCTGCGTTTGAGGAGCGTTTTGGAAACAAGGAAATTTTAACTGAGATATATGTGAGGGAATTGTTAAAATTAATTATCCAAAATGTACGCTCACAAGGGAAGGATCGGTTGCCGCTAGTGTCACTGTTTGACAAAATCGAATCCCATCTCAGATCTCTAGAGTCTTTAGGCTTAGCCCTGGATACTAATGTTTCCTGGTTATATCCCATGGTCGAGTCTTGTCTGTCTGCTGAGATGCTTCGAGTATGGCAGAGAAGCGTTTTGTTCAGTAAAGAAGGATCACGTCTCACAAATCTCCTGGAATTTTTGCGTAAAGAGGTCGAAGGAGAGCAGAGAGTTAAACTAGCCAGGTCTGGATTTGAAATTTCTTCTACTTCGCGCAATGAACATTCTAAAGATGTAAAAGTTAAGACCAAAAAACCAATCGCTAGCGCAGCAAGTCTAGTTGCTGTCAAAGAACAAAAATGTGTTTTTTGCGGAAAATCTCACGAAAGCAAAGAATGTTTTACAGCTCGATCGATGAGCTTAAAGGAAAGATTAGACAAATTAAGAGAATTAAAATGCTGCCTCCGCTGTCTTAAACCAGGGCATTTTGCGAAGAAGTGTCCACAGTTTATTCAATGCTATTTGTGTAGGCGATCTCACCCTATAATTTTATGCCCGGAGGTATCAGAAAACAATGCTGACAATAAGGAAAAACGAAACGAGTCAGTAATGGTACAAAGTACAATGTCTCTCCCTTATGTATGAATGAAGTCACTCTTATGACGTTAATGGTTGAAATAGTTGTAGGCACTGTAAAGAAGGTGGTCAGGTGCCTCTTGGATTGTGGATCCCAACGATCTTACGTTTTACAATCCACAGTTGAAGCTTTAAATCTGAAAAGCACTTCCTCTGAAACTTTAACTCACGCGTTATTTGGCGGAACAAGGACTGAGTCAAAAATTCACAAGAGATATTCTATAGGTCTAAGCCCGGTTGGGAAAAAACAAAGTGTGCCAATTTAGTTTTCTGGATCAAAATACCATTTGTGGAGGCATACCACGCATACCTAAAGGACCGTTATTGAAGGAATTAAAAAGACACAGAATTTGGATTTCAGATGTCGGTGAGGGTCACCCGGAAATAGAAATCCTCATAGGGAGTGATATTTATGGGCAAATACTTACTGGTGAAGTAATTCAGCTTGAGGGTGGTTTGACAGCCATAAATACTAAACTGGGATGGACGCTGTGCGGGGAATCGAAAGGAACGATTATCCAAAGTTTTGAGGGTACCCCATCTATGTTAGTAACTAATCTTCTTATTCAAGACATGGAACCTTCCTTTATGTGGAAGTTAGAAACTATCGGCATTGCAGATGATGCGCAAAGCATTTCCAGGGTCGCAGAAGATCAAGCAGCGAAAGAGCAGTTTCTTAGGGGCCTTCGCAGAACCGGAGATGGTAGATATTGCGTGAGTTTACCTTGGGCTCTAAAATTCCCTCCTGATATTCCCTCTAACTGGCATATTGCAGAAAAGAGGCTCTTTGCTACTACGAGAAAATTGAGAAAATTAAATAAATTTGATGAGTATAGTACAGTATTTAACGAATGGCTAGCGGAAGATGTCATAGAAATTGTCCCAAAATCAGTAAAGAATGACGGAGGGCATTATTTACCACACCATCCAGTAATAAAATTAGGTAGCCTCACTACCAAGATTAGGCCTGTATTCGATGCGTCGAGCAAAGTCGTTGGTTCGCTTTCGCTAAATGATTGCTTGATAAAAGGTCCAAACCTTGTAGAAGAAATCTCAGCCATTCTAATGCGGTTTAGGGAAAAGGCAATTGGTGTAACATCCGATATTAGGCGGGCCTTTTTACAGATTGAGGTAGTAGAGCGTGAGGATCAAAATTACTTAAAGTTTTTGTGGTGGGTAAATAATAGAATTGAAGTGTTTCGTCACAAGAGGGTTGTTTTTGGGTTAACTAGTAGCCCCTATTTATTGGCAGCTGTGATTTCATTTCATTTGTCCCACGTTTCACCTGAATTCAAAGCTGTTGCGAATAAACTTGCCAAATCATTTTATGTTGACAATTGTGTCACGTCAGTCGATGATAACGAAGAGCTAAAGGTTTTTATGAGCCAGTCGATTACTATTATGGCAGAAGCCAAAATGGATCTTCGAATGTGGACTTTTAATCAATATGGTGATCAAGAGCTAGCAGCTGAAGATAGTGATCCAGTCTCCGCAGTTCTAGGCTTGCAGTGGGACCGACGAGATGACAGCCTTACAATATCCGTCAAAAGAGAAATCGTCCAAAGAGAAATCGTTAAAAGAGACTTATCAAAAAGGAGACTATTGTCTCTAATCCATGCTGTTTTTGACCCGCTAGGTTTCTTTGTGCCCGTCATATTACCTGCGAAATTAATTCTTCAAGAGGCTTGGGCAACAAAATCGACCTGGGATAAGCCATTACCAGATGAACTTCAAACAAGATTTGAGAGATGGTACGAAAGGTTGCCTAGTCTTTCCAGCCTTAAATTACCTCGTCGCATGGGTCATGGAATTAAGGATTCATGGACTCTACACGTCTTTTGCGATGCCAGTCAAGCCGCTTATGCAACTGTCATTTACTTACGAAGTAAGGAAGAAGACAAAGTTTTCGTGAAATTCGTCATAGCAAAATCACGCGTATCGCCCTTAAAGAAAATAACTATTCCGCGTTTGGAGTTGCTAGCCTGTGTTCTAGGTGCACGCTTGGCAAGGTATACTGTTGAAACCCTGTGCTTAGTCGATGTCCCGATATATTACTGGACAGACGCTACTGTGGCTCTTAGCTGGATACAACGAGAGGAAAACTGGGGAGTATTTGTGAATAATAGAGTAAAGGAGATTCGGAAACTCTCGAAGCAGGAATGTTGGAGACATATCCCTGGGAAATTGAATCCGGCAGATGTGGCATCTCGTGGCTGTACGCCTGAACATTTGCGGCAATGCAATTGGTGGGAGGGCCCCGAATTTCTGAAAAGCTCTCCGAAAGAATGGCCAGACTTTGAGTTTACTCCAGACGAAAATTCTGTTGCAGCAGAAATTAAGAAGGGAGTGATTGTCAATTTGAGTATAAAATTAGAAGATTCTGAGTGGTACAAACGTTTTTCGAGTTTTTCTAAAATAGTTCGAGTATTCTGCTGGGTTCTACGCTTTACTAATAAACTCCTAAAGAAGCCCTCGTATTCTTCGGATACCTTAACAGTAGAAGAAAAAACTAACGCCGAAACATTTTTGTGGAGTTTAGAGCAAAGGAAGCACTTTCAAGAGAAAGGAGATTCCGTCCATGGATTATTGGTAGTGAGAGACAACGACGGAGTCCTCAGAGTTAAAACTAAAATCATTGAACGTGATGATGAATTCTGCTTCCTTTATCCCCTGTTGCTTCCGTCCAAGCATTATTTAACTGAATGCCTTATAAGAGAGTATCATGAAAAGAACTGTCATGCGGGAGTGCAGATATTATCTGCTAAGTTAAGAAAGCGATACTGGATCATTTCGTATCGCTTTCTTAACGTAATATAAGATCTTGCGTAAGTCGATGTGTAGTATGTAGGAGATTTACCGCTAAGGCTTTATCTACCCCTCCGATCCAGTTACCCCTTTGTAAGGATCTTAAGTTTTACTAACGTTTATTTTATTTTAAATCTTTACTATCACTTCTTATTTTCTACTTCCGGCAGAATTAGCGGAAGGATTTATGCAAGTGTCTGGCGACGCCAAGTATTTAAGTGTGCTTTTTGCCAAGCGAAGAGGGAAGCCGTGAGTTCGAAGCAGGCCTTACCTTAGAAGTTACGCAGTTGCTACTTTGCCTTCCAGGCCAGAGGTTTTAATCCTCTTGATAAATTAAA